GGCTGGTATGCAAACTGCAGAGGATCCAGATGAGAGCTCACCAGGGGGTGGGGGTTCCTCAGCACGATGCTCCTCAGGTGAGAAGTTAGGGCTGGTGGTGGGGCAGTCAAACCAGTTGAAGAAGATGTTAAGTTGGTTTGCTCTTGTGTGCCCCCCTCCCCTCCTGCACCCCTCTCGGAACCACAACCAGTGATGGTCTTCATTCCATCCCACACTTCCTTAAGGTTGTTCTGCTGCAGCTTCTGCTCTATCTTCCTTCTGTAATTGTCCTTAGCCTCCCTGAGTTTGACCTTCAGCTCTTTCTGTACACTCTTCAGCCTCTGCGGATCACCATCTCTGAAAGCCCTCTTCTTTTGGTTTAGAAGAGTCTTGATGTTGCTGGTGATCCAGGGCTTGTTTTTTGGAAAGCAGTGTACAGTCCGAGTGGGCACGACAATATCCATGCAGAAGTTGATATAGTCAGCAGTGCAGTCCACTATGTCCTCAACGTCCTCAGTGTGAGCCGACTCCTGCAGCACTCTTCAGTCCGTGCAATCAAAGCAGTCCTGCAGAGTCTGTTCTTCCTCAGGAGACTAATTCCTGAAAGAGCAGGATGTAGAGGGTAGCCTCATTACTTTAGGTTTGTAATGAGGCTGGAGTAAGATGAGGTTGTGGTCTGGTTTTCCCAGTGGAGGAAGTGGGGAGACACTGTATGCATCCTTGTTGTTGGCATAATACATGAGGTCAATGGTCCTGTTTCCCCTGGTAGAGCAGTCCACAAACTGGGTAAAATCAGGCAGTGTTTTGTCAGGGGTGACATAGTTGAAATCCCCAGAGATCAGAACAAAGGCTTTCAGGTGCTGCGTCTGTAGTCTCCCCACAGAGGATGAAGTCACATGCCGTCTCCCCGAGGGCACGTGGGGGGATGTAAACAATCACAACAATGGAGTGCAAAAACTCCCGGGGCATATAATAAGGACACAGACTCGTGGCTAGGAGCTCGATGTCACTGCTGCAGATGCAGATCTTAACTGTAATATGTCCGGGGTTGCACCACCTCTTGTTGATATAGACAGCGAGTCCTCAACCCTTGTGCTTGCCGGTTGCCTTTATGTCTCTGTCCGCTCTGACCGTTGTGAAGCTGTGTAGGTCCACATTGGCATCCGGGGTGCTCACGGTTAGCAATGTCTTGGTGAGACAGAGTAAGCTGCACTCCCTGTAGGTTTTAACGTTCTTCACCAGCGCTGCCAGCTCATCTGTCTTGTCTGCCAGGGAGTTCATGTTCCCCATGACAACAGGAGGGACAGATGGCTTGTAGCGCCAGCGGTTTGCTAGCCATTTAGCCTTTAGCTTAGCGCTGGCTCTGCAGCCCCGGTAGGGTTGCCTTAACTCTGCAGGTAGGTGGGGGACAGATCCAAAGCTGGACTTATTCCTGAGAGAAATTAGCTGATTTCTTGTGTAGAAAAGTCCACGGCCGCTATCCATGTCAAGTGTAGATGGACGGAAGTACGATAACCAAACAAAATACAACAAAAATACAACAAACAATAGTGAAAAAGACAGAGCTGCTGCTGGGTGCTGCCACTCGTGACAGCGCATGCGCATATCAATGACATCATGACCTTAAGTATCACTATTTCATAGTACAACTACTTCCGGTGCAACAATCAAAAGTGCCACTGTAAATTAAAGTAAATCAGATTATGTGAGCAGTGATCACAGATCTGATCTGAGAAAGTGATTTGTCTGCAAAAAGATCAAACACAGCCTCTGCCTCTCATTCAGTGTGATGAGCCCTGCAGTAGAACTTCTCTGTTTACAACAGGTCTCCCACACAAATGTGTCCACCCAGTATCTGTATATTCTCACTACTTGTTGTTAATGAACTGACAGTTTGGCAGTCATTTCCTGGCGCACCACACTGAGCTACGGCCAAAGAACCTTTGGAGAGTGTTATAGCTGACCGCCAGCTGGATTAGAGGGTTAACCAATTAGCAGTAAGAGGATGGGTCAGAGTACTGAGTCAATCCCAATCTGCAGCAGAGCCAGCTGAGAAACAGCTAATCCAGTTCCTGGTCACAACCTTCCGTAATAAAGGGTCATGGGGGTTGCACGGAGGAAGGGAAGCTGGTGGAATAAATCAGAAGATGTTCTCAAATGAAAACCCATAAACAGTTTGTTTCTGTTATTAAAGTCCATGGTTTAAATACTACATATTCAGAAGAAAATGTTGGTAATATGCCGTGAAGGTCTGCAAGGCAACCGTACAGCATCAGAAAAAAAGGAAGTCTGTAAAAAAAAAAGGAACAATAGAAATAAATGCATGATATAAATGCCTATATCAAGCTATTTTTTAAAGTAAAACAAGAAATAACAATTACTTTATTGATATTCAGCAACAAACTCACTTTCACACTCTCTCCTTACCATCGCTTACTGCTTGAGGATCACAGATGTGTAATAGCACAATATTGGATGAAGAAAGGTTGAAATGTGTCCATGATCTCCAGATCCATTGAATTTTCAGTATCAGCATCTTAATTTAACCACAGTTTTTCGGTCTTACATGGGTACCTGTTGACCTTTTTGGACTTGGGTTAAACAAACAACATGTCTGCCACATTAGTTGAATCCACTGCATTATTAAGCAGTGCAGGTTAACAATAGAAGCGCTACTAAAATTTTCCCTGCAGGTTCTCTGTGTTTTGTAATGAGCAGTGTATCCACTCATTTAGCTGTGCAGCAAACTCTGAGTCTCCTTGTGTCAAATTACACACACGTAAAGGTAGTAAATGCAAATATAGAGGGTTTTTTTGGTTTGTAATTACGCACTAAAATGCTTATTAACACTTAATTATTGGTCATTTTAAACAAATTTAAATCATTTTAGATTTGGTTAAGACTTAAGCACACATTAACAAAATGGATAAGCCGAAATCTGAACCTCCACTGCTGAGCCAATCAGAGCACAGCAGGCTTCACAGCAGCGATCCAATCAGAGCAAAGCTCATTACCATAAATGTTAATGAGCCAAAATCAGTTGGTTTTCCTGTAAGGTTTTTTAGGCATACTAAAATGGTTTGAAACAAACCATCAAATACATTTTCAGCTAAAATTATGTTGCAAACATGATCAGAGGACATCAAGGATTATGAAAAATGATAAAAATGGGTATGAAATTTTGATGGCAGGTCCCCTTTAATGTTTTTATCTCAGGTAGTGGATGACCACCTTCTAGTTACTGTGTTTTGATGCTGCTTTAAATCTCATTAAAAGGTCAAATTCATGCAGCAAGTACCAGACCTTTTCTGTCAAATTGAGTGATCTATTAAGTACTGAACAAAAAGAGTTATTGACTGACATGCGAACTGGATAAAGTTGCTCTTATGTAGCAAGAGTGCACTATGCCAGAGTGCTTTTGTTTAATTCTCCCAAACTGCTGTTAATTTCTGAATTAAGCAGTCAGTCAGTCATTCTTGGTACACAGAGATTACATCTTTCTCAAAAGGAACTTTGACACAAACAGTCTATACTCTTCTTAAGTTTTGCTGTAACTTGCAAAGTAGTCTTGTACTAAGAATATATATGAATGGTGATATGATAGACATTATGATTCTGTCACACTCTGCTGTGTTTCTCAGGCTGATTCTCACTCACCTCCCTGCCACACCTCCTTATCAGTGCTGATTCCCCACACCTGTGAATGTCAAGCTGCAGCTCCTCACTGCTGATTATCCAGCCAGTATTTAAGCCACTCTGTGTCCCTCATTCAGTGCCAGATTTTCTTCGCAGCATGCACGACTCGCCAGCATTATTTCTCGGATTGACTTCTCGATTTCGACTCCTGCTTGTCTCTGACCATGTCTTCTCATCTCAGCCCTTGGATCCCCTGTCAAATTTCTCCGCTCCTGTGAGTGCTTCAGGTTTTGCTGTGTTGCCAGCTTCCAGACCGACTGCCTGGCCATGACTATCCCGCCGTCTGATCCCTCTGGAAGTAATCCGCCAGGGTTCGACATTGCCTCCACATCGACCACGAGCCTAGCCTGCCCCTCAACAGTGCCGCCGCACTCCTCAAAGACTCTCAGGTGTAGTGTATTTTCTGTGAGCACTCACCTGCCTGCCTGTTGGACCTGTTTCCTGTTGATCTTTAGAGATTCTACAGAGATTGCTAAATCGATCCCAGTATATTCTTTCCTGTTACCTGCTGAAATACCTGTCCTCTGTGAACTGTTGCAATAAAAGTAGCTTCTAACAACTACCTGGCGTCGTGCTGCACTTGGGTCCTACACCCACACCTGACAGATTCTACCGTAGCAATATCATGATGAGATATTTTTGACCCCAAATCACAGACCCCCTTACCTTTGCAGTTTTTAGACTGTCTTCTTGGACTTGACAAAAAGATATTGGAGACAACACTCTGTAACCCCCAATAGGTGCAACATATCACCAAAATGACGCTCAGCCCTGTGCACCCGTGGATGACACAGCCGATCAACCTCTGCTGATCGGAAGGGATACCCTCTTTGTACACATGAAACCCGTCTATTTATGAATTAAACTCCGGCTTGAATAACCAGTAGGACAGTTTAAACTCGAAAACGGATAACTTCGGATTATACTGAACGAGATTTGACACTTTTCAACCTCGGGGCTACAAGCTCATGCTAACCAGGAAACCTGCTAACCCAGCTAGTGTCACCGCTAGCTCCTGCCAACCAGGAAAATCACACTGATCGACAAGAAGCTGAGATCTTCACCTGAGGACAATTCTCTGCAGCGGGTCCACTTGTTGGACCCGTGCCGGTAAGTGGCGTTACTCGACGTGCTGTGGAACACCTTACTTACTACGCTGAATCAACGCTGTGGGCTCCGAGAGGAGCCCCTGCGTGTAAGTGCTGTGCCCCAGCTGCTAGCAGCTACCTACGGCTACGACTGCTCGCCTTCTTTCTGCACTTTTAGCCCTGTACTGGCCCTCTCTTTTTTTTTTTCCGTTTCACAGATACACACTTCAGTAATTCATGGCTCCACTCACCTCCCCGCCAGACTGTGTCCGCTGCTCCCGTCTCACTGTGAGGATCGCCGAACTGGAGGATCGGATATCCAATCTGTATAAGATCCAAGAGGCTGAGCAGTTTTTGGACACCTTCATTCTTGGTTCAGTCCACACCGACCCCACCGCTGATTCTGTTCCTCCTCCGGTCACCGAGCCTGCTGCCCCTGCTATTGGTCCTGCTCTTGAGGCCACCTCTTCTCCTCCGGTCACCGAGCCTGCTGCCCCCGCTGTTGGTCCTGCGGTTATCGTGGACTCTCTGCCGGCTGAGGAGCCCAATAACTCCTGGATCCGCCTCGGGGCTAGACCAAAGTTGATCCTGGCCAGCTCTACCCCGTCTCATCAAGCTCCTTGGATCCGGATCGGAGATGGTACATGGGGAGGGAGGCATTCCTCCCGTGTACCACCAAGCCGTGTCATCAAGCTGCAGAATATATATATATATATATATATATATATATATATATATATTATTTTATTTTATTTTATTTATTTTTTTTTTTTGTGAAAGTTATCCATCTGTTTTTTGACGTTTCTTTTTTTTTTTTTTTTTTTTTTTTTTTTTTTTATTTGTGCAGTGTGACAATACAAGACATACAAAACAAACAATGGCATTTGTGGTTTTGTGTGTTTGGTGTGTGTAAATAATAATGAAAAAGAAAATAAATAAAAAAATAATAAATAAATATTACAATTGTCAGACAAGCAAAAAAAGAAAATTATACTACATCAACAATATCAATAATAATAACAACAATAATGGTAATAATCATAAGAAGAAGGAATTTGTGGACCACCTCGGGTCCCTTCCCGCTCGCACGAGACCCACCTGCATCCCTCCAGGCCCCCAGACTCCCACCCCAACCCCCGCATGCCCCGGACTGAATGCGGCACAACACCTTACCCTATGTCTATATATGTATTTAGTCTTTGTTATTTACTTAATATACTTTATAATTATTTATTTATTTTTATTTAATTGTATTTATTATTATTATTATTATTATTATTGTTGTTATTATTTTATTTATTTTATTTATTTATTTTTTCTTAATTTCTCTCATATATGTGCTTTCTAATGTTGTGCATTAAAACCGAGGAGAGGGGTTGTCCTGAACTATAATTTGATGAGATTGAGACCCCGTTCCTCTTCCTAATCTAGTGTGATGTGCAATAAAAGAGGTGATGTGCCATCTGAAGACAGTCCAGGGCGGAGAACTGGGGGAGGGGGGAGGCCGGGAGGGCAAGGAGATCACAGGTCATTGTCTAACAGGCGCGACCTAGCAGGGACCCGAGCAGAAAATAACAACTGTAAATGTAAGTATATAAATAAATAAATAATAATAATAGAAAATGACAATGACAATAATATTCATCATAATATTTGTAGTAATATGTAGTAAGAAATAGAAAATAAAAATCAATAAACAATAATAATAAAAAATAATAATGATAATGATAAAGATAATAAAGATAATAATAATAATAATAATAATAATAATAATAATGATAATAATAATAGTAATAATAGTAATAATAATAATAATAATAATAATAATAATAATAAATAGATAAGTAAATAAAATAAAAATAAAAAGTTGGGAATGAAAGTGTCAGAGAACAGAGATGGATGATGTTGTGACTGGTTTGTGGCAGATTATGAGCTTAGAAAAGTGATGAATGATAACCAGGTAGAGTTATGATTATTGTCAGAGGAGTTTGTATTTTCTAAGGAGATGTAGTCTATGAGCAGGTTTTTCCAGTGTATTATGTGTATGGAGTTCCGAGACTTCCAGTTCATGAGGATAGTTTTCCTGGCAACGGTTAGTGCCACTAGAAGTGAACGTGTGTGTGTTTTGTCAAGTTTTAATGGAGATAGGTCTCCTAATAAACAGACGGAAGGGGAAAGTGGGATGTGGCAGCCCATAATCTGGGATAATGTTTCTGTAATGTTTCTCCAGAAGTGGTGAACAGGTGTGCAGTGCCAGGTTGCATGAATATAGGTATCAGTGCAGTTTAGTGAGCAGTGTGAACAGTTTCCAGATGATGAGAAGCCCATTTTTTGCATTTTGTGTCCAGTCAGATGAGTTCTGTGAAGGATTTTGTATTGTATGAGTTGTAAATTAGCATTTTTCGTCATGGAGAAAATGTTCTTGCAGATTTGGGGCCAGAAGTCAGCATCAGGAGCAATGGAGAGATCAGTTTCCCATTTTTCTGAAGGTATGGAGGGTGTTGAGTCGGCCTGTGATAATAATTTGTATAATTTAGATAGGAGTTTCTTTGAGGAAGGGATGTTAATGAGTTTAGAGGGTAACGGGGGGAGGTCTAAGTTTATATTCTTGTTTTTCATTGATGATTGGATGGATGATGAAACCTGTAGATATTGTAGGAATTGATGGCTCCTGATGCCAAACTTCTGGACCAGGAGAGAGAATGGGACCAGGGTGTTATTATTGAAGATATGTTTGAGGTGAGTAATCCCTTTCTCTACCCAGGTGCTGAAGTATAGTGATTGTTTATTGCTGATGAAGTCCAGGTTGTGCCAGATCGGGGTGAAAAGCGATGGTGCCAGAGTGGAGTTAGTAATGCTGTAGAATTTCCACCAGGCTGTCAGGGCCGATGATATTGTGGGGTTTTGGAAACAGGGGTGTTTTTTGATAGTTTGACTGAGGAATGGTAGGTCTGAGAGATGGATGTCTTTGCTAACTGTTTGTTCTATGTCTAACCACGTGCTATCTGACTGGGTGGGGTGGGTCCATTTGTAGATGTATTGAAGTTGATTTGCTAGTGAGTAATGATGAAAATTTGGAGCATTGAGTCCGCCTAAACTTTTTGATTTCTGAAGAGTGGCCAGTTTGACTTGTGGGGGTTTATTTTTCCAGTAAAATTTGTTGATGGATGAATCGAGGGAATGAAACCAGGTGAGAGGTGGATGAGTGGGAATCATTGAACAAAGGTAACTGATTTTGGGGAGGATTGTCATTTTAACTGTTGCTATTCTGCCTAATATAGATAATGGGAGGTTCATCCATCGTTGGAGATCATCATTGATTTTTTTTAGGAGTGGAGTGAAATTCAGGTTGATCAACTCTGACAGCCTGGGGGAAATGTGGATGCCTAAGTAGGTGATGTGACTTGTGCAGAAGGGGATGGGTGTTGTAAGGGCTGCCACAGCCAGACTGTTGGTGTTTAATGGGAGTATGGAGGATTTGTTCCAGTTTATTGAGTAGTCAGAGAGAAGGGAGAAGGATTTGATGACACTGATTACTTCTTGTAGTGATGATTTTGGGTTATCCATAAAAAGTAAAATGTCATCTGCATAGAGGCTGATTTTATGGTGCATGTTGGGGGTTTGGATTCCTGTAATGAGGGGGTTCTGACGGATGGCTGCTGCTAGGGGTTCAATGAAAATGGTGAACAAAGAGGGAGAGAGTGGGCAACCTTGCCTGGTCCCCCTATGTAGAGTGAAGCTTTGTGAGGTTTGTCCGTTAGTAATAACTGTGGCTGTAGGTGAGGTGTAAAGTGTTTTAATCCAGTTAATAAATGATTCCCCAAAGCCGAAACTGTGTAGGGTGTGGATGAGGAATGACCAGTTAACTCTGTCAAAGGCTTTTTCTGCATCTAAGGTGGCTATGATTGAGTTATGGTTATGTGTGGTTGAGTGGTGCATTATATTGAATAGTCTGCGTGTGTTATTGGATGAGTTTCTTCCTTTAATAAATCCTGTTTCATCCGGGTGAATAATGGATGGAATAATTTTTTCTAATCGGTGGGAAAGTGCCTTGGTGATAATTTTAATGTCAACGTTGAGAAGTGAAATGGGGCGGTAACTTGAAGGCAGGGTGGGGTCTTTGTTTGGTTTAAGAAGCAGTGAGATAGATGCTGTATTCATGTTGGGTGGAAGTCTGGAGGTTTGTTGTGTTTCTGTTATCATTCTGTGAAAAAGTGGAGCTATGATGGACCAGAAGTGTTTGTAGAACTCAGCAGGGAAGCCATCAGGACCGGGTGCTTTATTAAGCTGCAGAATAAATATGACGTCCTTCGTGACTTTCCATCATTCCTGGCTGAGGAGCTCCCAGCCCACTGTCATAATAACTCACCCCCTGTCTCTCCTCCAGCCAAACCCCAGCGCCCGACCCGCCTCTCATTGCCACAATTCACACCAGCACCAAAAAGAGCGCCTGTCTCCTGCTCAGTCCACCCGTCTCCATCCCTGCCGCCATCACGAAAACATATCTCCCAGTCTAAGCTCCTGTTGGAACTGAGTCAGTCTCTTGAGGACAAAAAGTCAAAATCACTCCTCTACTCCATCTTCTGCTCCCCCTCCAGCTTTAGCCTCTACTGCGCTTGGTTCCAAACACCTGGTTCAGCCGCCTGCCCCAACTCCTCTTTTTTCTCCAACGGTGCTTATCATCGGGGACTCGCTGGTAAGGAATGTCCGTTTTTTCAATGCAATCACCCCCTGTATTCCTGGTGCCACAACTGTCCATATCCTCGACCAACTTCCCAGCATCATAGCTTCCCTTCCACCACCACTAAAATTATTGTTCATGTTGGCACATGTGACGTAACCCAGCGACAGTCTGAGTTCACCAAGGCTAATTTTATTGGCCTTTTTGCTCTCCTCATTAGCAGTAGAAAGTCCATCTTTATCTCCGGCCCAATTCCCACTCTGGCCCATGGGGATGAGCGTTTCAGCCGCCTCCGCTACCTTCACGCCTGGATGGAATCCACATGCAGCACTCACAAAATAAACTTCATCCATAATTTCAACTCCTTCTGGTCCCACTCCTCTGTATTTGCTCGCGACGGCCTCCACTTAAACAGGTCCGGTAGCCGCTTGCTGGCGGCTAACATACAACAAGCTGTGGCGTCTCACCACCTGTCTCCCGGTGTGTGACTAGCTCCTTCATTGTCATCATCATTGCCATCACCTGCGGACCTCCCCATGCTCCTGCTGTCCACTGACAACAATCAAGCGCCATCAATTCCTCCCTCTAGCTCCCCCTATCGGTCTTTTCCGCAATTACCCACTTTAGGCTGCAAATAAACTAAAAGCAATGTAACCTTTCATAAAGAACACAGTCTCTGTAAATTGGATGTTGCGCCCACCTCCGCCACTAACTCATCAATTCCGGTTAGGGTTACAAATAGGTGTTTTCATAGTCGCCCCAAACTGAGCAACCATAGAGGTGGCGTTTCACATAATTTGCTACGGCCTCTCAAACATGCAGCGCCATCAGCTGATATAGAGTCCACTTTACATATTGCCTTATTAAATATTAGGTCACTGGCAAACAAAACATTTATATTGAATGACTTTTCCACCACACGGAACCTGGATTTTATGCTCTTGACAGAGACTTGGCTCAAGGATGGTGATGGCACTCCATTCTCTGAGCTTCTTCCCCCTGACTGTCTGTATCAACGAAATATGTGAGACAGCCTGTATCTCTGACCATCTGCCTATGCTATTCACTGTATCCATCCCATGCCCACATGTTAATACCTGTACTGCCCCGCGCTGTCTGCGCACAATCAGCCGCCAGACTGCATCGCAGTTCTCAGCCTTATATCGTTCTGAAACATCTGGGCTGATGTTTAACATGCTGAATGACAATGTCACTCCCTGCGCTGATGAGCTTTTAACCCTTTTTAATGCTACCGGCACGACTATCTCGGACAATGTTGCCCCTTTTAGACTAAAACGCACTAAGACACTTTCTGACCCATGGCTAAATGACTCCACGCGCACTCTCAGACGTGCATGCCGGTGTGCCGAGAGAAAGTGGAAGAAAGACAAGCTTCATGTCTCTAAACAAGCTCTCCATGATAGTCTGTGTGCCTATCAGAGTGCTGTTAGGACAGCTAAATGGAATATTTCTCAAATCTTGTCTCCACAAATTGTCGCAAGCCCCAAGTTCTTTTTAATATTTTCAACTCCCTTGTCAATCCATGTGATAACACCCCTATTGACTCATCGCCGACTGTTTGTGAACATTTTTTGAAATATTTTATTGATAAAATTTCTGCTCTCAGGCCACCTCCCTCCACTCCCGCTGCTCATGGTCCAGCCTCTGGTCCGGATCCCACGGCCCCTTTTTTAACTGCTGTCTTTTATCAGTTTGAGCCCATATCCCTCTCCTCACTGTCTGATGTAGTTTCACAACTGCGGCCCACAAACTGTCCCTCTGACAGCATCCCCTCTCGTCTTTTTAAAGAAGTATTCAGCAGTGTGGGTTCTACAATTCTTTTACTGATTAATACCTCCCTCAGCACAGGGTCTGTCCCTGATGCTTTTAAACGTGCAGTTGTACAGCCTCTTATTAAAAAGAAAAACCTGGACCCTTCTGATTTGTCTAACTTCAGGCCAATCTCTAAATTGCTGTTTTTATCAAAAATCCAAGAAAAGGTGGTTTTTAATCGGTTACAATCATTCCTTATGACAAATGACATCTATGACCTTTTAGTCTGGTTTCAAACCGCGCCATAGCAGTGAATCCGCACTTCTGAGAGTTTTTAAATGATCTGATTTTAACTGTTGACTCAGGTAACCCTGCCCTCCTAGTGCTCCTTGATTTAACAGCTGCGTTCAACACAGTAGATCATCATATCCTTTTAGATCGGCTAGAGCAGTGGGTAGGCATAACAGGCACTGCCCTTCTGTGGTTCCGTTCCTATTTAAATGAACGCAGTTTTTCTGTGCAGCTAGGGGAATTCGCTTCAACTGCAGCCCCACTTACCTCTGGAGTACCCCAAGGTTCAATTTTAGGACCGATTTTATTTTTATTGTACATGTTGCTGCTGGGCTCAATCTTCCGTAAATACAAACTTTCTTTCCACTGCTATGCCAACGACGTACAGATCTACCTGCCCTTAAACCCCTCAAATAATGACTCTGTACAGACGCTGCTGGACTGTTTTTTAGAAGTTAAATCTTGGTTGGCGGAAAACTTCCTACATCTGAATGAAACCAAAACAGAGGCTATATTATTTGGCTGTAACCCATCTGACTTCCCAGCCAATTATCTAGGCCCTCTCACACAGAATGTCCGTGCATCGGTAAAGAACCTTGGCGTGACCTTTGACAGTGATTTTAAACTCGACAAGCAAGTCAACTCTGTGGTTCAAAATAGCTTTTTTCAATTGAGAACTCTAAGGTAAAGGGTTACCTCTCTCGAAGAGACTTAGAGACAGTTATGCATGCTTTTATCAATTCCAGATTAGATTACTGCAACTCCCTGTATGTTGGCTTGGATCAAAATCTGCTCCATCAACTTCAGCTGGTGCAAAATGCAGCTGCCCTCCTCCTTACTGGGAAACGTAAAAGAGAACATATAACCCCTGTGCTCGCTTCTCTCCACTGGCTCCCAGTCTCTTTTAGAATAATTTTTAAGATTTTATTGTTTGTTTTTAAAGCTCTTAATGGACTGGCCCCCGGGTATTTGTCCGAGCTCTTACACATTCATTCCCCCGCTAGAGCACTGAGATCTGCCAATCAGCGGCTATTGGTCGTCCCGAAGACTCGCCTAAAGAGTAGAGGTGACCGAGCCTTTGGGGCGGCTGCTCCAAGGCTCTGGAACAGCCTGCCTCAGCACATCCGTTCAGCTGAGTCGATAGAGGTTTTTAAATCCTCTTTAAAAACACACTTTTTCTCCCTAGCTTTTACCTAGCTCTTGATTGGTATTTTATATTTGTTTTTTTATCTACTTACGTATTTTATATTTGTTTTTATTTATGGTGTATTTGTAACTCAATTTTACTTTGCTGTATTTTAATCTTGTATTCTGTGTTTTTTTATCATATTGTTTACTGTCTGTTTTATGTATTTTGCTGTGCCTTATTGACCTGTACAGCACTTTGGTCAGCTTCGGTTGTTTTTAAAGTGCTCTGTAAATAAAGTTTGAGTTGAGTTGAGTTGAGTAATGTAACCCAGTGTTATTTTCAGCTTTTATTTTATATTCATTTCTTAAGTGAATTTGAGTTGTTTTGATGAGTTTTGTTTTTTCTTATGCACAATGAATGCATCATAATTCCACGAATGGCAGTCTCTCGTGAAGTACTGTTTTTTTCCAATTGCATTTGAATGCACCGCCAGAGTGCACATGGCAGCTCCAGTTAGAGGGCGAGGTAACTTTCTCAATTTTTCGTTCTGAGTCTGATGAGGAAACAAATCGGTAAAGGTAGAAAAAACACCTAGTTTTATCACTAAGAAACGTATTTTTTTCTTGTGTAGTAAAGTGATATGGTCGAGTCCTGTGATGGGTTAATCCGAGGAGAGGGACAGTTGATGAAGAATATCCTGGTGAGTGTAAATGTATGCATTTAGCAGTCTGTTCGCAAACATATTAGCAAATAGGGAGAATCTGCGTGCACTTTAAACTATAAAACCAGTCAGGATATGTTATGTCTTGTGTGGGAGTGATTGTTTTTGCTGCGATGGAGTTGTTAACTGTGTTAGCAGGGAAGAAAACTTAGCTAGCATACTGTGTTTTTTTGATGGAGCACTGCACAGGAGTTGACGCACGTGGTGTGGATTTAATGTGAGCCTGCTACAAGGCTAATGTGCATGTCTCATGATTCATTTATTGATGTTTTTGTTTGTTTTTTTGTATATAAGAAACTGTATTGGCCAGTAACGAGGATAACTTGTGGCAAAACCTGTTTATTATTCTTGAAATCCAAGAGCATGTATTTCATATTAGGTTGATTATACATTTTATGTTGCACATTGAGTAACTGCTCTGCATGTTTTGTGCAGGCTGTTTTTTGTTTTTTTTTTTGTTGATAGATTCACTGACAGAATGAGCTGTGTCGTCTATGGACTGGATTTCGCCTGAAGAGTCTGCAAAGGACATTCTGGATCTGATGACCACCCGGTTGCAAAGAGGGTGGTAGGACAAACAAACGGATTTCCCATCCCTTTGGAGATTTACTTTTTTTTTTATGCTATCTGAGATGTCAGACCTTTTTTTTCATTTTTTCATTTTTTTGTCAGGCCTGACGCACGCTGACAAACACATATATACACACACACGCACATAAGAAACTGATGGTCAAAGGGACCATTGAATCCCAACAAGGGAAGTGAACTGAGTGTGACCAATGAATGGACAGTACTGAAATTAATGAAAGTTATTCAAGTGATTGTATGTTTTTTTCTCTTTGCCCCTTTTGTTCTGTTCATGCCTGTGTCTTGGGATACCTATGTTTTTTCTTGTACTTATGATGAAGTCTCTTAGTAAGTATGGTTAAAATCTTGCCAAATACACGTCCTACTCTCTACTGAATTAATTGTCAGGATCTTATTGTGGTTGGAGGTTTCTTTTCACTCAACAGAGTTGCCATTGCCAATCTCCTTACGAATCCTAGTCATTGAGCCCTGCTTGTGTAGATTTAGACAAGGGACCGTGTTAACTTAGATTTTGATTTTCCTTTTTGTTTTGACTGCATAGAAGACAAGGGTGACATAATTTGTGGCGAGCCAGCCAGGAGATTGGTATAGTGGCTGTTGTTATCTCCAACCTACACAATATACTGTTCTGGTATTTTGCAAAAACAAAAATGGATCTTTGTTGACGTTTTCAAGTTGATGATCAGAAGACTCTGTATGTTACAGGAGTCGAACAAAGTTGTACAGATGCTAACATTTCTGATTTCTTTGTGACAAATGGGAGGATATCTAAAATAATTAGAGTTCCAGATGAACCACATCAGCCTCATGGCAGAACACTTGTTATCTATGATTCAGAACAGGCTATTTTGAAGGTTGACCCGGTAACCTTAGGCGAACTTCAAAGCCCAGTAAACCCAAGTGTGATTTGGTCTTCTCAAACTGTTAGAGATGTTACTCAAGGAGAATTGGGCAAAGAAGTGGCCCGCCGATATCTGAAAGAACTT